ACCAATGCTGCACATTTCGTTTCTCTTTTTAGAGGCCAGCAGTCTTAAAAGTTTAGCAGATGTGATGTCTCATCAGTGCCACAGTGCTGTGTCTGCAGGTGGGTATTGTTTGGGTCCCTCGTTAGATCGTATGGTGAACAAAAGCACTCAAAATAGCAATGATGGCTTTATCACTGAGTGATACAACGCCAATGGTTTCTGAACATGGAGATCGAGCAATTGATATGATTCTCCCTATTATCCAGCTATAAATAGTATCTAAATTCAAAAAATAATGTCAATCAATTTTGCCTTACTTGCAGAGATTTCTGTGTTTGACGCTGATATCACATTTTTTTCCAACCGGCACGACCCAGATACGAGACAGTGGTTCTTTGATGATTTTAACGCTTGGTTCCGTGATCCTGGAGACTCCCGAGCTTATGTTCTACTTGGCGACCCAGGAGTCGGTAAAAGTGTCATAGCCGGAGCCCTGGCACAGCGAATGAGAGAGACTGGACAGTTAGGTGCAGCCTACTTTTGCCGTCACGACGATGGTACCAGAAACGATCCCAGGTATCTCCTTGGAACTGTTGCCCATCAATTGTGCGCTTGTAATGATAAGTACAAAGAAATCGTAGGGGGAGAGGATGGGGTTAAAATGCTGTTAGGTAATTCTAAACTCGGTGTAAGGGAACTGTTTACTAAACTGCTACATGAACCGTTAAGTAAGAGTAGTCCTTGCCATCAGAAATTCTTAGTCATTATTGACGCCTTAGATGAGACAGAGAACGAGTCCAGAGAAGATTTTCTTGATCTTATTAAGCATCGTTTCCGCCTGCTGCCCGAATGGCTTGTGTTCTTTGTCACCAGTCGCCCTGAAGATTCTGTTCAATCCAGACTAAAGAGATACAACCCTTGTATTAAAATTTGTGTCGGTACCAGCGACCAGCAGAACTGTTATCAGAAGCATCAGCAAGATATTCAAAAGTTTTTGAAGAAAAGGATTCAATTCTCTCGTCTTGCCATCTCGGTTGACGATGTGTCCAAAAAGTGTGATGGATTATTCTTGTACGCACAATACATCGTGGAAGAATTAAAAGACGCTATCGTTTCTGGTAAGAAAATCAGTAATTTAAGCGATCTTTTCCCGGGAGATATTGACGAGTTCTTCCTACAGAATTTCGAAAGAGTCTGTGTTCAAGTTGGGGAGAATATTTTTAACAAACTGTTCGGTTGTGCCGTCGTAGCTCCATCTCAACTTCCTGTGTCAATCATTTCGTACATCCTTCAAAGGGAAAACTCAACTCGCCATGAGCAACAAGTAGTCGATGCCATTTCGCAGTTTGTGGTGTTACGGTCTGCCGATCAGACCTTAACTTTCTTGCACAGTCTGGTGCCAGCTTGGTTGTTAAATAAGTCGAAAGCTCGAGAGTTGTTCATCGATAAAAAAACCGCAGTCAAGTACATCAGAGACATTTTTGTTGAAATTGTCACTTCGTTTACTCAGAATTCTCCAGTGCCACGCTCGTCCATTGACGTGGACTTACTCAATTATGTGGTGCGCTTTGCGGTTCGCTTTTTGTGTAAATTTGGCGGGAAAGATTCCTTTAAACCTATTTTTAATTGTCTAACGAATTATCAGTACATAGAGAGAAGATTACAGTGTGGAAAAATTGAGATATATCACCTAATTGAAGATTTTCATTCGGCAGTTGAACTTTTAACATCCGAGAACAAACAGTACCAAACTATCCTGCATGAGATCTGTGCGATTCTTACATCCAATGCTCTCATTCTTTCAGAATGGCCTCACCTCCTACATACATGTTTAAGAAGCGGTTCAGCCGTTCTTCCAGAGACCGTTTTGGTTTCTGAATTTTCAGGTCCTTGCTTAGAATGTAATTTTTCTTGTTTTGTGGACTCTCACATTGCAGATATGCAATGCTTTGCTAGTTCCTCTAGTAAGAAGTTGGTCGCTGGGTCAGACGGTCATTTTCTTCTACTCTTTGATGCATCTAAAGCGCTTTCTTTAAGTTACATTTGTAGAGTAAGAGCACGTGACAAAATAAAACATATAGAATTTTCCCCTGATGAAAAATTTATATTTTTTGGACACCTTCACGAGTGGTTTTCGGTGGAACGAAGATGTGTGAAGACAATCCCGCAGTTCTTTGAAAGTTTGCCTTTCGAGTTCCCTCTCTACGAGTTTCCTTTCTACCAGTGGGGCGTTTTTACTCGCGATAGAAAGTACATTGTCGTTAAAGAACAGAGGTTGCAGGGTGAAGTCAACTGTAGATACCAGAGATGTATTGCATACTTGATTACTTTGTGGGCTCTAAAGGAAATTGAGCAGAGCCAAGATGAGGAGATGACTGTTCGTCTCAATTATCAAGAGGTATTTGACAGTTTAATAGACCTTGCACCACTCCACCACTTTTTAGAGCGTCTTGGAATTAAGCCAGTTTATGATTGGCTTCCGTTCGAGGAGAGAACGGCTGGATTGTTTACCAACGAAGAGTGTCTTGGTTGCATGAAATTGAGGTTACTCATAGAGCGAAATCGAGAGCCACCTTTGGAATCTGTTCGTCTCCTTATCCTCGAACTTTACTCTTCCATTTTCCAATATCAGGTGTGGGATGTACAGACTGGGAAGCCCATGTTAAAGCACCTTTTTGCAGGAGATGCTCAGTTAGATGCTTTTACTTATATCTCTCAATTTGGCTACGTACTTACTGATTTTACGACGTTTTCTGGCATAGATGAAGCCAGATCAATTTGTAATATTGCAGTTTTAAGAGCCATTTGTCGCACAACAAGGCTAGCCATTCTTTGTTGGGACGTGTTAAGGAAATAATTCCAAAATTGTGAGGGATTAGAGCTTGAGCTGTAACACCTGATAAAAGCAAAATGTTCCCTAATGCCGATGTGGAATTTGGAAATTAAGCGGAAGGAAGTAAGGATACTCCAAGAAATGCTGAGGCCCAAATCGACCAAGACACATTGTGAAACCTGGGACGCCCTGTCGACTCTACGTGGCGTGATAAAGTATCTGGAAACCGAGAAGCGGTTCTACTGTTGGCATAATTCGAGAGATGGGTTGAAATCATTACCCCCTCAGGAACTGACCAAATGTAATAATGAGGAATTTGCCTTTTTATCCCTTCAGACACTGAACAAATTTAATAATGAGAAATTTATCTTTGATGTTTGTGCAAACATTCCGAAAGGATTTCAGAACCTAGTGAATGAGGTGAAAGGAGAGATCCGCCTTCATTTGTCGCCAGAAAAAAATTGGATCGTCGCGGCCGATGACGAGGACTTTATTATTATAATTCCAAGAAATCAAGAAAATTTCCTGAATGACGGAGAGACCGCACGGCGTATCATAATTAAGTGCAAGTGGTTTTCAAAATTTACGTTCACAAACGACGATCTCTTCTTTATTTATACTGCTGATGGAGGTGTCTCGCTTTGCGCCCTATCTCTCCAAACTGGATTAGTTCTCACTAGTGTGACGGGATGCAAACCCCACTACTTTTCACACAAAGGGCAGTTTGGTTATTTGTTTCGTGGTGATACCGAAGAGAAAGCCATCTTTTTATCGAATCTATTTTGTCCATTCATGATTAGTACGGAATTGGGAAAGTCGGTCGCTACTTTGTTGCTATCGAGCAGTGCATTTACTTCAGTGTCTGTTTCGGAAACGTCAGTAGTATCAAAATCAGTCGCTACCGTGTTCTATTCAATGGATAGTGTTATAAATGTTACGTCTGACTCAGAAGTAGTGTTTTGGCGGATCAACAGAGCAAGAGAAGACATCACTATCAAATCCCAGTATAACCTGCCACAGAAAGCAGCCCATATTGAGAATTGTGTTTGCTCCCCAAGCGGACGGCTAATCGCCATTCACAAAGGAGTCACAGTGAATCTGTATATCCTCACAGTTGCTGACACTTTAAAGGTTCTTCACGAAATAGACCTTTTTGAAGCAGAATGTGAGAACACGACTGTGTTCATGACGTTTTCATTTGACAGTACCTCACTACTTCTTTGTGTACAGGATTTCAGACTTTCTCCGCTTTGCTTTGTGTGGGATGTTCAAGGCAAATCTAGATCAGGCAATTTTAGGTCACAAACACTACTTACCATTTATTGTTGTTGTCTTTCATCTTGCAAAACGAAACTTATTCTGTGTGGCGAGTACCAGATTGAGATCTGGAAATACAATGAAGATCCTTGTCGGCTTTTGAGCAGACTTGGAGTGGAGAAGCCCTACCAGTCTGTCAGTTTCAGACAGTGCTGCGTTTCTCTGGACGATGAATTTTTAGCTTGTTGCATCGCCAACAGAATTCTTGTCTACAATCTTAATGCTTCTCATATCAATTCCTCCAAGCAAGTTCTCCGCGGCCATCTTGGTAGAATTGATTTTTGCAAGTTTCTTAGAGTAAATCGTTACCTCGTCTCCAACAGTACCGATGGTATGGTTTTTTTGTGGGACATGAGCGGATTCAAAGCTGTTGGATTTGCGAAAATAGCACAAGGCGAGGAGAGCATTCTAAGCATGGCGGTTTCCCCTGAGGAAGACCAAGTCGTCTGTTTTAATTCGTCTGGTCGAGTGTGCTTAATAGGACTCCGTGGGTTGGGCTCTGCACTGGTTTTAAAAACTGCGTTGTCTTTCGCAGAGGGTAGATCAAGGGTTGAAATCGCTGACACTAGCCTTCGTTTGGCAGAAGAAATAGTTTCGACGTCTCGAGAACCAAATTCTGTTATTGAGGATGATGAAATAGAAGAGGCAGAGAGCACTTCTGACTCTGAAGAAGACATGTACTTTTACTACTTGGAGCACGAATGTTTGGTTGATTCAGACGACGAATGCTGATTTACTTCTGAAGCTTTGACATAGTTGTGGACATCGCACAGATAAAATTTTGACTTTCCAAGACCGTGACTAGATAATTGTCTAGTTTTCTATCAAAGTAAACAGTATTAAAAGTGCTTCAAGTCGAGTACGGAATATTCACTGCTGATACAGGGGATATGCGTGCCATTACGATGATGATTTGTAAATGTTACCCCTGTTACCATTTTCATGGCTTCAAAATAAAGTTTGAACTGAAACTCTTTAATTGCAATGCGTTCAGTTTAAAAGAAATGGTAATTCACTGTCTTTTCAACAATTTTTCCACGAGTGGGCGTTGGATATGAGATGATAAATGTGGGGCGAGTTGGCTGTAATCATCTCATATCCAACCAGCGCGAGTGGAATTGTCTGATCAAAACCGCCCCAAAATTTAGATGAATCCTCCAACTTTATTTTGCAAGAAGAAACGCTATGTTACAACGTACAAGAACACCTTCGGTTTATCTCCTCTTCATGCGCGTGCATGATTTAATGGCTCATACTGACCATGATGGCTAAGCCAATGAACACTCTTGAATTGCATTATCCAATGATACAGCTCTAGATAACAGGTTTTACTCTCTCTTTCGAATAAATGATTGAAATGTAGCCAACAGGATGTTGTAGAATTTATAAAAGAGAATTAGACTGGAAGGCTAAAGAGGTTATAAAGAGTTCAAGTTGCAAGGAAGCTTGGTGATCCGGTGATGATCTCTAGCTAAATCTTCCTGGACTCGAATTCTATTCTCGCTTAACAAATTACAAAGCTTTACTAAATTTTCATAAATTGTACGAATTCATTGAAGCGAACATAACAAGTTTCATCTGATATATATTTAGAAACTAAAGGTTTTATAGATACAATAAAGATGCTGTAATCAAGTCTTTTTAAGAAGTGTTACATGATAGCGCCTATCTTTGTTTGTGAACGGTTTGATCGAATTTAAGTTTTAGCTTATGCACAAAATAACTTTGCGAATTGAAATGATCATTACTGATTTTAATGAGAATACATTCAATTAATCAACAATTTTCTAGTCGTGCATTACCTAACGGGAAGTAAGTATTCGTTATAACGTACGTGTTTGAAAAAAAGAGAAAAACTTCGAACGTTTATTTTCAACGAGACAAACTGGGTGGTGGGATTAGGCGAACTAGATACAGGGAATGCTTTGTGTTTTTTTGCTCTTTGTACTTGCCTGTGTTTTTTGTACAATTTAGAAGAAATTTTTTCAATATTTCAAACAAATTTTTAGATTTTCTGAATTTACACTTACATTTTTAAGAAGTGTTGCATAATACAGCTAATCTTTGTTTGTGTACAAGATGGTAAACAAACGTTATGCAAAAATGTAGCAAACGTTTTGTAATGTAATGAATATCGTTATGCATAGATGCGTGTGTACAGAATATTCTATGTACAGAAATATTTTGAGGAGAATTTTTCTTCTTTACCCTGAGTTATGTTATTTTGAACGTTAATTTAAATAGCTCATCATACTAAATTAGATTAAGTATTTTAGGTGCTATTTTTATGACAGAAATGCTTGTTTTAACTAAATAGACATCTGTTTGCCATCTGTGGAAAGGTAGAGCATTTTTCATGCAGCTAAAATGCGCGTATTTCCGTCAATTAATTTTTTTTGCAAAAGTATTTGAAATTCGTCTTCTTAACAACTTAATCATTCAAATAACTTTGATTACGCTGAAATGTTTCACTTTTTTAATTTTCAGCCCTGGTTAAACCCCGCATCCTCAACCATTCTTTTTCTTCTTTTCTGGTCTGTTATTAATTTCTTCGTGTTTTTTTTCCCCGAAAAACTATTATTTAATGCCTCCACTCTGTAAAAGAAGTCTCAAAATATATCTTAGCCCCTCTAGCACGCTCTGCGATTGAGTGTTGTAAAACGTAACCTAACCTATCAAACCGGGCAGTCAGAGCAAAGGGGAAAATAACCAGGACCAGGTAAGAAACAGAAAGGAGCAAACTGCTTGAAGCATAAAGGCTGATAGTTTCGAAAGAAACTGTTTGGGGCTGCGTCGGTGGGGGTAACGAAGTAATTTAGATATGTCAACAAAGTTGAAATGGTAAATTGGCCACCGTAACGATTACAAAAGCTGAC